CACTTCCACCACAGGATATTTGTGTTTTAAAGATGCACCTTCCACTGGGAAAACCAGGCTTTCAATGCTGGGTAAGCCACAAAGTATTAAAGTGAATGATTTAATGTTTGTTCCAACAACTGTCCCCATAAAAGGATCCCAGAGTAACGTGGCGAGAATAATTTAGGGTGTGTGTTGTACTTTAAGCAGAGGTTTAGAGGCATATTTAGATTAACTGATGTCTCTAAGAAGTTTCATTATTTATTTGATAATTGATTTGGAGTGTTTAAAACTGCCAGTTTAAAACTGACACCTGCTAGTGAAGCCTCAGTATTGCACTTGCATGGAGAGAACACAAGACACTGGTGGAGCTCAATCCCATGCAACAGACACTCTTTATTTATTTAGTGTCAATTCTTAGCAAAAAACAATATAAAACTTTACACAGTGTTCAAATATAATCAGGCATCACTCTGATGTTTCTTCCTATATCCATATATTAACATGACAAATAGTTCAGTATAATCCAATAAAATAAGACAAATTTTATGTCATCAGAATTCAAATTTCCTGTTTTTCTAGCGTGACCTTGAATTCTTCCTTAGTGACTAATCTTCCTGTGCCAGGAAAAAAATGTATATAAAATTTATATTAATATGGATTTGTGTGCTATTTGCAGACACACTTGGCTACTTGTCCAATCTGCTTAACTCATTTTCAGTACATTGGTGCTTCAGTCACACAAACAGCAGGAAGCCAGTATATAGCGTGCATGAATGCTGCCCATAAACATGTTGTGAACAATTGAAGAATGTTCAAACCAAAAGATTGAATATTTTTTAATCTGAAACTTCTATCCAAAGTAACCTACAACATTTGCATTGAACCATGTGAATAAAGGGTGTAGGTTTGGTATCAACAATGGTAGTGACACAACAAACATTAGGGCCAATCACAGTGCTTAAATATTGGTAGGGGCATGTTATTACTGTCCACCTAAGCCCTCTATGTGGATACAACCAAGAAATTGCAAGAATTATGCAAATACATCCAGTGTGAAATTCAGAAACAAGGTGCAGTTTTTATTTAACTCAGCAGTTTAAATAATCAGGGCTTATTTATGCATAAGTTATGTATAATAAGGGCATGGCCACTTTGAGTGAAGTGAAGTCAGGACTGACAAGATGGCAACTTCCAGTGCCGACAACGCTTCACAAGGCTGTTCAGAAACCTGTGGGTGGCGTCAGAGAGACAAAAAGAGTTTCCCATCCTTTAACGGAAGATTTATTTTTGCTGATATCAGTGGGGAGACTGTTCCACCCATAGACTGTATAATAAATAATGGATGAAGTGTGGTATGAAAAGTGAAGCCAATGTGTCGGTGCCTTAAAGCTGCATTGCCCAGCAGGGGGCGACTCCACTGGCTGCAAAATGAGGTCCAATTGTAAGGTTATGAGGAAATGACCTGACTTCTCACTTGATTTATTAACTCAGTAAAGACCGAATTAGTTTTTGGTTTCAAGTTTCAAGTCTTATTGTAAGCTACAGCCCCATTTACATTGGAACAGATTATAAAAATAGTGAGAAGTCACTAGCATGGAATGTTCTCAATCCGATCCAATCAGGATAGAGGCAGCACCATACTATTGTACAAATATGGTCACTTCTAGCTATAAATAAATCAAGATGGCAATGGCCTTAATGCCCAACTTGAGGCTTCAAAATGAAACAAACTAACTAACCTTAACCCTTTTATGTGATTTTAACTCTTTTTTGAAAGCTAAACTTCTGAATTCAAATGTTGCATAACCTTTCATTAGTCCCTGGAATTTGATTTCCACACGTGGGTGCTAATGAAACTAGGGGTTGGTCAGTTTGTCTTTGTCCCTCCACTGAAGCTGAGCTCAGTTCTTTAATTTACGACACATAGAGCACTGTCTGATTCTTTTTGGTGTGTCTCCTCGACTGTTTGATTTTGAAGACCTGTTTGTTCTTCGTCCACATTGTTACTTGTCTGTCTTTCTGCCATTAGCTGTTCTTCATGTTTTTCTTCTTCCATCAAACACTGAGCTCCTGTATTACAATCTGTAAACTTTATTTTCTCCTCTTCTTCTTCTGTCTGCAGATTATTCTCTGTCTGTCTCTCAGTTGGATTCAGAGGATCTCTTCTTTCATTGATTGGTTTCGTCCCTCTCTCTTCTTGACTCTTGTCTCCTTCCGTCAGGGGTCGGTCAGTTTGTCTTCCTGACTGTGATTTTTCATCATTGTGGTGCTTTTTGTTACTTCAAGTGCAGTTACAAGAGTTTCAAAAGCACAGCAGAGATGTAAAGTAGAAGAGATAGTGTTGTGTTTAAATTTTAAATACTGGTGTCATAAGAAGGTAATTTTAAATAACACACAGGGATCATTTTAAATTACACGACTTTGTGATCTGATCAATCAAAAATCAAAATCAAACACAGACACCAGTGATGTAAGGTGATGGTTAAACAGACTAAAATTCCATACATAAAGATATCCTAATTTAAATAGTGAACTTTACATTTTAAAGAAAAAGGTTTCTATATAAAAAGTTACCTACTGATTTTCTTCACAAGAAAGACAACTGCAAGAGCTAACATGATGCCAACAACCAAGCGAATAATGTTACGAGCAGATGAACTGGAACCAGACCGGCCTGCGAAGAATTCATGTGAAATAAAAGAGAACAAAACAGAAATGTATTTATATCAGATACAATCAGAGTATATATGTAGGAAATGAGTATTTTTATTTTAATAGTATTTCTACCTGGAACATAGATGTGTGTCTCTCTGGTCTGGTTGATGTCCTTCTGCTGGACTCTACAGGTGAAGTTGTTGCTGTGTCTCTTCTCCACAGTCACTCTGCTGCTGACAGTATAGAGGTCATCAGGACCTCTGACTGTCTCTGTAGGTCCAGCAGAGTGAGGTTTCTCAACGTCCAGCCAGACCACCTCAGGCTCTGGATACCAGCCTTTAGACTCACAGTGTAGAACCACACTACTGCTGTTTGTGATCATGTGGGTAACTGGTGAGGAGACAGCACCTAAAGGAGAGAAGAGGCTTTATTAGTTTCTAAATATATAATGTATATTTAGAACAGTCTCATGTACTACAGTCAGGATATAGTGAAAGTTTCAGAAAACACAAGATTTTCAAGAGTAGAGAGCTAAAGTTGTACTAGTCAATTCTCAGTATGGCATTGTGTAAGCATGAATCAGAGTTGTTCTCACCATTACTTTTACAATTAGAGTTAAAAACACAAAATATACTGACTTACCTACAACCAGCTGAACAGCAGTCTCTCCCAGTTGTGGACTGAAGAATCTGTATCTTCCCTCATCAGATAGTTTCACTTTGGAGAGTTTCAGTGAAATGTTTCCTGCTTCAGCTGATCAGTGAACAGAGATGTTCTTCCCTTATAGGACGGATGTTTTATACTCCTTAGTTCCACACTGCCACGCCAAACGAGAACAAATCTAGGGCTCAGGTCAGGTCTCCCCACTCCAGAAACATGTTAAAAGCATCCATGACAGGGTGCAGGTGACACGGCAAAATGACGTCCTCACCAACCATTGCTACTATTGGCTGAGACGGACCAACCACCTGATGCTGACCTGAAAAGAAACAGCTTTTAATCTTAATTTCTACAGCAAAGACAGAGAACACTTTAAAACAACCATCTCAGACTGTTAGTGTTCATTTACCTCTACATGAGTGTATCAGGCTGAGGAAGACAGGGTGGAAGACCAGGACAGTGAACGCCCCAAACTGAAGGTTAAGGGACTGACTGATCCTCACAGGAAGCATCCTGGAAGAAGTTCAGAAGAAGAAGAAAAAATACTTAATGGACTTCTGTTTGGGGTCCTGGAGCTCCTCTGTAACAGAGGACAAACAAAATACATAATTAACATTATGTCAGCACCTTGAAACTTCATCACCAGCAGCAGCAGCAATAAAAATCCTGATAAAAACAAGATAATAAATATATAAAGGTAGTTTCTCCATCTGCATTTTAAAACATTAAATGCACAGTGGCAGTGCAAATGGTCTCCAAGTATAAAATATTCCACAACAGTTACTTTTACAGTGCACAGCAGAGACGTGAGATGTATATACATGTATCTAATTAAGTCTTGGAGTGCAGCAGTTGGGGTTCAGAGTTGAATGGATAAGAGAGGCTAACTGGGTAACATAATCTTTTAGTCTTTAACTCCTGTCAGAGCGTGATGGAGGCTCCAGCTCTAGGGAAGAAGCTGTTCCTCAGACTGTTAGATTGGGCTTTGATGGTTCTGTATCTCTTCCCCGACAACAGGAATGGATAATTTCTGATCTCACTCTGCCATACAAAAACTGGTTCAGGGAGTGTAAGTCATGTTGTTACTGATCTGTGAGGTGCTGCTTTTGTAGTCTATTATGATTGTAACGCCTCCGCACATGCTGCAGGGCTTGTTGTTTATAGTTCTTTCAGTGCAAATAGTTCTACTTTTTGTCATCAAAGCCTTGGCAAATCTAAATATTAAACTGCAGAACAGGTGACACAGAGATTTTCACATTAAAGACAGATATTACATTCATATTTATGATATTAATATTCAGTACCAGCCTGACTGTATTTTATAAAACAACTACAATGATGTTAAGTGTCCTTCACTGTTTGTGAGTTTAGTTTCACTTTCATTTGGAACAAAAAGAGCAATAATGTGAATAAAAACATTTGTAGATCGACTGAGACTGACTTTATAAAGCGGGACATTGTATTCAAATGTCCTGTCCTCTGATGCTTTCCATAACTAATCATAAATAATCAGCAGGCTGTAAAGGTCAAAAGTTAGAATGTGGACAGATAAAATCCATTATTATTCATTTGTATGAGTTCAAAAATATAATATTTGATATGTGATAGAAGTCCAGCACACACTAACAAACATTCATTAAAATGTCTGCATACCTGTTGTCCGTTCAGTCGCCTGGAGCAGCAAATGTCAACGACTCAGCCAGGTGCACTCGAATGGACAAATGAAGGACCATCCTGCAGAGTCCTCAGATGTTATGTGTCAACACAATGGGGAGATGTGGCAAAGAAAACAAAAATCTCATATCAGGCTGTTTTATGTCCCGAAACAAGATTTATTTTGCAATGAATTTACATAACAGCTGTGAGCTTCTTCTGTCTTATATTTTTTATTAAAATAATCAGATTCATTTACAGTGTGAGTGGAAAACCAGGACAGTGAACATCCCAAACTGAACTGTACAACTACAGAAGCTGGTATAGAGTTAAGCATACAACTTAATTGTAGCAAAATAGAATAAACCATGCACACAAAACAATTTAAACCAAATCCGAACTATTTAGCAGCATTTGTTTTAAAAATACAACAGAAAATAGCCATTCAATAAATAGGCTAAGGCATACTAACAATCTAATGGGAAAATATGGAAAAAACAGTGATTGGTTCTTCTGTTAATGTCTTTTTAAAACCTAAAAAGAAACAAAGGTACATTCAAACTGCAAAACATGTGCAATATAGAGTAAATTTTACACCTTGCTTAAGGGGAAACACAGTTCCCTCCCCCCATACATTTGTTCACTAAGTGTCACTACATCACAAAAAGGCTACATGGCTACATATACTTGTCAGTACACAGATACTGAGTACAAGTTGTGTTTGCTGTTTCTTGCAGGTCATGAATTTGGTGAGGAGTGGAGCTGGCTGGCTGCGGACGAGGAAGTAGGGCAATATATACATGTACACATACACGTATATGAGAATGCATATCTATTCAGACCTGTAATTCATGTCTTAGACTTTTTCACACAGCTATAGATCATTATTTTTCTATTTATGACTGAGTCAACGTTAAAACAAATGAGTTTCATCTCTAATGCTGCTACTGTCTGTAATATGTTTCTATTTAGATTATTTGTCAGGAGATTTTGTTATTATTGTCCGAGTCTGCTTTTAACTAATGCTGGGCTTACACCAAAAGATTTTCAGTCACAGACTAAAAACTGAAAGGGTAGCATGAGGGTTCTTCCCGTTAGTCTCGTCAACCCCTAGTCATGACATAACTTCTGTTGTGATTTGACACTATAATGAATAAAGACTGATTGATTGATTGCCATAGCTGTCAGTTTTAGTCCTTGAGTTCATAGTTACGTGCTTTATTTGTTAACTGCTATCAAGGAATATGACACTCCTTTGTAGTATGCATGAGAGGAGATGCTGCGAGATTTGTGGACTTCTATGTAGTGTCTGCGGATAATGTAGTGGGCTGGTCTGGACACAAAATGCCAGGGCTGAATTTTTGTCCCAGTCCACCCTTGGTTGGACAGTATACATTAGCCTTACTTTATAGTTACAGTATATATAACAGTAGAGAAACATATGAGTTTATGTCCATCGCACGGCCACACTCAAATGTGCAATGGGAAGTGAAGCTGTGAGACAGTCAATAATAGAGGCATGTCCTAAAACCGATTAAAAGAAAAAACCTTTTCATTTATGGACTAATCCAATATCCCTTAGAGAAAAATAATACATAAATAATGTGTTTTTTACTACTTCACTGTGAGATTTTTGAAGGCATTGTTCTCTAGAAGTGACTACATTACCCAGCTATAGCGAAAGTAGTTCATAGTAATGTATTTGTAAGAAGCACTAAACCCACAAGTATATATGACTGGAATTATTCATGGAAGAAGCTGCTTTTATTCTGCAGTCACTTCCAACATCTTCTTAGAGCTGTTGCATTGCTTACTGTAGATAAATAAACAGGTCAAACCCAACCTGGCTGCCCATTCTCCTAACACCACAGTGACTGGCTGCACAGTGTGTAACCCTGATTTACTGATGTAAGGTAACAGTCACTCGGTACAGGCTTTACATACATGCAAGATTACCTTCATCCCACGTCCAGACTACCGTACTTTAAGATATCCAAGTCCTGAGCGTGAAAGAGAAGCCGAGCACGTCCATGAAGCGAATCATAGAAATATCCCACGGCAAGACAAAAGATCACACTGTTCTCGACTTATGGTATAAAACTATAGTGAGGAGGATTATGTATTAGTCTGTTGCGGGTTCTTCCTCTTTTTCCTCTGCCTTATCCAATTCCATAATTTTCTGCAGACCTCTGACTTCCTTGGGATCTGAGAAGTGCAGTGCAATCAAAAGATCTAAAATAAAACACTGACAGGTTCAGCTGAACAGTGATTTTTTTTTTTTTTAAATTGAGTGCAAGTAAAGGATCTGAATACACAGAAGTAATTATTTTATTAAACTGTTACAGTAACAACATAGAGTAAGGCAATTAAAAATAGCAGTGATAAATATTATATTATAGTCATATATATTAAAAGGCTGTTTAAGGTATAAATACAAGTATGTTTTTATTTATTTTTTTCAGAATTGTTTATGTCAGTCATCAAACAATTTAAACTTCCCAAACTGCATCACACTACTTCTTTTGCACTGAATATGTACATAATAGCTCCAAATCAAACAAATCACTGGATTCTGCTTGTTGTACAGATTGTCAGTTCACAACTTCTTTTGCAACATTTGGTAATTCTTCAGCCATCTCCGCTGCTTTACTCTGTTCCTCTGACACTAAATGTTCTTCTCCAGAGCTGTCACATACTATCAGAGATTTCTGAACATCTGACTCCCCTGCTTGGCTTTTCTGCTGAAGATAAAGGAAGTGAGGTTTAGTTTGCATCATCTTGATCAAAGTGACAAACTGGTATTGTGGGGAAAATGAAAACTGCCAAAAGACATGAAAAGATAACTTTAAAAAATGCAGATTTAGGTAAAAAGATTAACCTCGTCCTTCTTCTTCTCCAGCTCCATCTTCAGGGTCTCCACTTCCTTTTGTACTTCCTCCGTCCTCTGCTGCTCATCCTCGACCATCTTCTTAACTGCGAAGTGAGATTAATCATTTTGTAGACAAAGCTAGTGTGGTCAGTTTAACCTTAATAACAACAACAACAATAATAATAATAATAATAATAATAATAATAATAATAATTAATAAAAATACAAAACTTCCAACTGTATTGATGTAAACCTTACCACCTGCTTGTGCAGCTCTAAGTTCAGTCAGCTTTCTCTCAAACTCCTGATTTCTTCATAAGAGATTCGAACTGAAGCTTGGACTCACAAAGCTAAAAAGCAAAAGCAAAGAGGGTAATGCGTAGTGAATGAGACTTGGCTTTTCTTTTAAAGGGACATATATAAAATATTTCAGTTTTACTGTAATATTTTACTTTTGTGTGCCTTAAAGTAATAAACAAAAATAAAAACATAATTTAATAAAAAGCTGCCAACAAGTAGGGTCTCAATAAATACAAAAGATTAAGCTGAAGATAAGAACCTCCTAGTCTTGCTCCAGCTCCTCCTTCAGGGTCTGCAGGTATTTCTCTTTACTCTGATTCTCTTCCCTGAGTCTGTCATCAAACTGCGAGGAGAGAGAGTGTGAAAAGTCAGCTAAGGAAATTATGAAAGTTAAGGAAAGCAAAGACTGTGTATGTAACCCAGGGACACATTGGGTACCTCTCTCCCGTAGGTTCCTGATCTCCGCTGCAGTCTTTTCTCCAGTTGAAACTGGGTGTTCTTAAGCTCTCAAAGGTCTGCCCCCTGGGCTGGTCAGCTGACTGTACATAACAACAACGTCAACCAGTAAGAGGAACTAAACTGCTCAAAAATTAAGGAACACTTAATCGTCACAGTAGACCAAGTAAGTTAAACTTGAGAATTATCATAATTTATTTACATCAGGGAGTCAAACTGAATGTGCAGATGATCTACAATATGTGAATAAGATGTCTGAATGTTCCCAGTAGTTAATAACAATACAATCTTTAAGTCTGTATCAACATTTTACAACTTTAACTTTACCTCCTGCTTGTGCTTGTCTGTCAGTTCTGTCAGCTGTCTCTTAAACTCCTGCTTCTGCTTCATGAGAGATTCAAACTGAAGCTTGGACCTACAAAGCTTTAAACAAAAAGAGAAGTTTAGCGTTGTTCTGCAAAGCTGTAGCAGTCAAAAG